GCAGGCAATACAGAGCTTAATATAACAAAGAACTTGCACGCTGTCTCGAAATACCATGCATTATCCGGGTTTTTCGCGGTTTATCATGCGTTGAATTTGAGCCAGAGTGTGAATCTGAATATGATTTGGGAAATTGGCGAGAAGTTATGTTTGAGTCGATTATCGCCTGACCAAGAAAGTGTCAATGGGCAGCTTTGCTTTCGGGTGCCATATTTGAGGTCCCTTATTAAAAATGCCCTTTGTCTCGGTGGTGCGGATATAACGTTCGGGCCCGGAGATATTTCTTGGACGTTAGGGGCTTCACTAATCGAGGGAGAGTTTTTGTGGTTTGATGCTGGTAAATCACAATATCACATATTGAGTTGGGGAAGTAGCTTAATTATTATACCTTCCTCCCCATTGCTCATATTTGTTGTGCTTTCACCCTTTTGTTTATTGTGTATTGCTGTCAAATTAAGTTGTCCAAAACTTGAGCATAGTTAAATCATTGCCTTCTTATTTGTCTCAAAACTCTTCAGCCTAGTTAATCTTAAATGCATTTTGTTTTATTATTTTCGTTCTTAATTATAATTTCTTGAATAAAGCTCGATTAGAAACACTTTTCGTGTTCCAATTGGACTCGATTAGGAATCTGCAAGCGGTTAATCATGATCTGAGTTGATTTAAGTTTAACTTCAACAAGTGGTTCAAATTCACAATTTGAGTTGATATAAATTTAACTTCAACAATATATTCAAATTTAAGTTTAACTCCGATGATCAAATTCAAATTGGTAAGTATAAGTATAATATTTACAAGAAAAAATGTCTTTAAAAAAGTATTAACAAAAAAAAACATATAACACAACATTAGAAACCAAAAAAAAAAAAAGCCTCTAACACAACATTAGAAACCAAACGCAGTCAAATATATTAAAATTTAAGTTTAACTCGGATGTTCAAATTCAAATTGGTAAGTATAAGTATAATATTTACAAAAAAAAAATATCTTTAAAAAGGTATAACAAAAAAAAAGCCTCTAACACAACATTAGAAATCAAACGCAGTCAAGATAACCTATAGGTTTTGTCATAAGGAACTAACAAGTACAAGAAATCTATAGGTTTCTGTCCTTTAGGTTTCTCATGAGGAACTAATAAGTACAAGATATGTAACCTATAGATTTCTGTTAACAGAACAAGAAACCATTGTGAACAAGTACAAGAAATGTATAGGTTTTGCCATAGATCTGATCCCCTGCCCACGGTGGGCAGTGCCCACCAAAAAATTTTACATGAAA